GTGAACATTGAGCTAAATTTGCAAGCGACATGGATCACAACCTATACGATGCCCAAAGAAAGTTGCGGACGGTCCTTAAAAACAGAAAGAACCCCGTAAATAAATACGAACAGGTTAAAGGAGTCACTACGGAGGTATGGGAGGAAGACTTCAGGAAACCATATGATGCCGAGGACACACAGGTGGCAGCAGGATACCAGACAACATACAACGCAATAGTTACCGAGATGGAAACAAGGGCAATATTTAAAAAACTAAACAACAGAAAAGCTCCAGGTACTGCTGATATACCAAACGAGCTGCTAAAATACGGCGGTCCAGGGCTTGCGGTAAGACTGACCACACTGTTAAACAAAATCTTGAGCACTACGAAAATACCGAAGTACTGGCACACCAGCATCGCAATTACCATATACAAAAAAGGGCAAAACACACAGCCTGAAAGCTACAGAGGAATAAGTCTATTGTGTTCAACAATGAAGTTGTTAACCGAAGTAGCATCCATGAACTCGGGATACAGAATGAACAATGGGGCTTTAAGTATGGTCTGCTACGTCGACGACGCTGCAATATTCGCAAAAAGTGAGAATTACCTGCAGATACAGGTATTTAAGTTCTACCAGGTCAGTCAGCAACTCAATAAGGACATAATAGACAGAGAGAATGATCGACGACAGACGCATTGTGCTAGAAGAAAAACCAGAAGGAACCCGTTCTCCTGGAAGACCACCAAAGAGATGGAGAGACAGCTGGCAGTTCACATCTCAGGAAATATTACAGAGGATTACAGATATTACTCCGGAATCAACAGATGATCCAGATTTCGAAAAAGAAAAGTAAAGAAACACAAAGAAAGAAGAAATCATGTTTGAAAAAATCACAATGTCAAAAATGTTGTATTCTACCCGATTTCCACTACGCGTCTTCGAACTCTTTTTATTGTTTTATTTGCTAACCACTAAAAGTCAGGGTAAAACTGGGTATACATGTTAAGTATCGCAAGTTGATTAAACCTCAAGATGACTCATTCGCAAAAAAATACTAGAAGTGATACCGGGGACGTTGGAACACTATGACAGGCCGAATCTTTTTATAACATAACTTTGAGATATTCCCGGAAACTCTAATAAAACAACACAGCTCTTAACTAAAAATGAATGTCTTGCAACGATGTGAAAAAAGCAATCCAGTTATTTAAAATTTCTCATGTTCAATATGTGTATGACCAAATCGACCATTTTTTTAATTTATGAAAGATGAAAACCTACTTGTTTTACGACGTAGAAAATTCCTTCCAAATCTAGAAGAGTAAAATAATAAAGCTCATTGAAAAAGTTGGTCGATTTGGTCATGCCCATGTATTAGAAATTTGATAGAACGGAAAGTCTCAAGATGCAAGTTTTTACTTTTAATAAACATCCCATTTTGCGAAAGCTTCAATACTAAATATTAGATTTTAAGATTCCAAAACATGAGTCTTACATAAGAACAAATTCACAGCGACTTCCAATAGGAAAAAAATTCTTGAGCAACTTTGACCAACACTAGGCACCAGACATCTTTGATTAATAAAACTTAGGTCAGATCGTCTTCTTTTGAGTCAAACAATGTCACAGTGCCATTTTAATAATTTGATCATGTGCTTGCGGGACACCCTGTATAAGAAAATGTTCCCAAAGTAACCTTGTAATTTGCGTAACCATTGTGGACGTTCCAAATTGGTGCTAAAACATAATGAGACTAAGATAGGTTTGAATAATATGCTCTTGCTCTATTCACAATCGCCTACAATTATATTTGTCTATTAAATATATGTTTTTTAAACTATTATGGAAATCTGAGCTCTTAATCAGTGACTCGTGCAAATTCGGCAAACTCATTCCTATCTCCTCGCGGTGAGCCAATTATCATAATTGAATGATAGCCGAGGCTCTGTCGTAAAGGTCCAAATGATTATTCAACTAATTTCAACTGGTTGTCAGACATTAAAGTTTCAACTTTGAGGGTTGTTTAACTGTGCGCCACTTTGCATCTTTTTATTATGATAAAAGTCGAATAACGAAATGATCATTGCGTCTGCTTAGATTTTCTGCTCGAACGGAGTTATATGAGGTTAAAAGGAACTTAACCTAGTTGAACATGAAAAACAGCTACAATTTTCTATTTTGTTCGTTCAAATTTAGTTTGGTGAATGGCATATCGAAACGGCTATTAGCATGAAATCGATATTTTTGTTCAGTTATTAGTTGCATCGGACCAGATCTTTTTGTAAATGTTGGGCCCTTTAAAGTGTTTTCTTTCTTGAAACTAGGGTAGAAAGCAGAAAAGTCATACTTTTATAATTTCAAACTTCGCAAAGGAGATTCGTGCTTTAAATTGAACGCTATTCAATCAATATAGTCTGTCAAGGTCCATATTCTAAAAACTGAGCTCACAAACATAACTCGAATATAAGAAAGCAACATCATGAAAAATATAAATATTTGTTTTCAGCAAATATTGAAAATCATATTATGCCAGAAAAATTTCGCCACGCTTCACGTAAAAACATATTATGTGATTTATAACAAATTAATCTATTTTTTTTTAACGGTTGCATGGTTTGGTAACTGTTTTTCCATTATTAGCGGCTCATTTTTATCATCACTAGAGACACTTTTATCCGTCACTAGAGATATAATTTTGCCAATATCAGACAAAGAATGGGACGCACACTTTAAAAAATGGAAGAAAGAGTGGAATTTTAAGAAGAAGAAATAAATGATGCCTTTAAAACGACAGAATCTGCAATAGATACCGTTAACACTTCCTGAAGTTGAAAACGTATGCACAGCCTTGAAAAGCGGAAAATCTGTCGGACCTGGAAATATACGACCTGAACTTATTAGACGCTACTGATGAACTGTTTGTGAGACTACGAAAGATTTTCCAAAAATGTCTAAACGGAACTTAAGTCCCAAACGAGTGGAAAACATCATATATATCAACAATTCCCAAAAAAGGAAGGAAACATATGTGCCACAACTATAGAGGCATATCTGTGACTAATACGCTGAGCAGAATCGACGGCAAAATACTCAGAAATAAAATAGAAAATGAATACAAATACATGAAGGCGGAAGAACAGGCCGGATTTAGGGCAGGTAGATCCACTGTAGATCATATGTTCTGTATAACCCAAGTTATCGAAAATAAAATGGCATATAGACAAGAGTTGCATTTACTATCTGAGTCTGTGAAATTCTCAACCGTTAAAAGATAATTGAAAAATGTGCTTCTATGAAAACGAGTAAAACTTTGAAGTTTACTTATTGAAATATGTAATGGAACATGAAACATCATTTCAAAAAATATGCCGCTTAAATATAAGATGGTACCCAGTGAAATTGAAAAAATCAAACTTAGCGCTTCAAATATACTTCAGACATTCGGTTTTCATTTGTAAAACTTAAACTTGTTCCGAATGCTTTAAAAACGATTACACAAACGGGCCTGCATGACAAGAGTTGCCACAAAAGACGGCTGTTAAATTATGATCGGGGCTAATGCAAAACTTTGAATTTTCATAAAACCGTTGTTCATACATTCAACTGGTTTTCTACAAATTTTTAATAATCTTCTGTTACTCGTAGTATGCATGACATTAAATTTATTCACTTATCCAATAACTTCTCGCAATACTCCTTTTAGGGTCGTAATGTGGATGATAAGAATATGAAAGTTTAAAGAAAACTTTAGTCGAGTTAAAAATGACGAAAGTTTTCAGTCTCTGAAATTTGCAATCACATTGGAATGTAATTTTAAGCTCATGTCATAAAAAGCTTTTTTGATGCTCATGGGTATAGGGCGATATGTATTATAGGAATTTGCAGCATAGCAGAGCGCATAACTTTCATGTGTTTACTTCTTTTCCCTGAATGTACTTTTCACATAATGAACATAACATTCAAAGCCGGGAATCCACAGACATCTATGAGCAAGACGCTGAAGTTTCAAAGTACGAGCTCAGAATCAATACTCAATTTTCTGGATCTTTCCTCAAATTTATCGAGGATGTTTTGAAACGGGATCCAGACACTGGATATTCAGATGGCATTACTCAACTTACTTACTTAAATGTTACCGGACACAAATGTGTGAATATGTATTTAGCATCGACTATAATTGCGAAATTTATTGGGGCAAATAAACTAGAAAGCTGAACTTACCCCAAAGCTTTTGTAGAAATAAGCGGTGTCTTCAAGCTTAAGAATCCATTGAGCCTTGACTTTTTGTCTTCGGCTGCGATGCGTCCATTCTCTGCTTCATCTTCTTCTTCTTCGCGCTTACGCTTTCTCTTTTGGAAAAAGTAACATGCTGCAACAGCACCAGCAAGGAGAATCAGAGCTGCTATAGAAGAGAATACAGCTGTCAGGACTACGTCCCGCTTCTCCATCATTAACTGAAAAAAGACACATTTCGATTAAAATTAACGAGAATACATTGAGATCTTGAATAAAATTGGGGGACGTCAATATATAAGTAATATAATAAATAGATATTCGGTAGCAAGTCAGCTGGAGTCCAATTGTCAAATCTAACTTTTGAAAAAGGTGTAATAAAAGCTTGAAAAACTATTATAAGCTGATAAAAATTGGGGAAATTTGGACACGTATTCCGAATAGAACATTTTTTTAAATTTTTATCAACAATATCGATTTAACTCAAACCCTTGCAAGGAAAGTGAGATCAAATTATAATTTTCTGGTTTACTGGCTTGACAGAACTGATTGCTGCAATTCAACCGGATCTCAAATATTTAACTACAATTTAACTGCAAACAATTATTGTCACTGAAATCCTAAAATATACGTTTAAGGCAATTTTATGATGTAATGTGATTGTGAGCCATATTATTATAAGACAGGAAACAAGTATTATTTGACACAATATACTATAATTAAAACACTTTTATATTATTATGAATGGTTATAAAAATAAATATTGCTATTAAAATAATTACACTAGCTCTCACATAACGCAAAAACGTTACTATATAAGCTCACTGATGGGTACCCAGAAATTAGTTTAAATCGAACTGATCGAGCTAAAAATGAAATTTTTCACTTACATCTTTATTGTGATCAGTGCTATTTTAGCATTGATGTCCGGAACAGCAATGGTCAATGCAGTAAGTAAAGTTTTTATTGACTCTATCTAAGCTAGCAAAATTTATATAAATCATAAATGTGAAAATTCGTTCCTATTTAGTGTGTTCGTCAATTTTATTTCTGTTCACACACAAAAAATGTTTTTCTTGTTATGAACGGTGTTAAAGTAAAAAATACCACGTACTTAGTCTGTTAAAATAAAACAGTTTTTAAACTAATTTTTATAAAACTTTTATTGTTTGTTAGTTTGACAGTAAATTTATTTTTTAAGTCTTCTAACGGCTGCTGCTAAGGTTTCTCCGAGCATGTAGTCAATTTTGATACCCAAAATCAAGACACTTTAAAGGCATGTTGAAATATAAAAACATAACTAATATACATTTGTTGATAGATGAATCTCAAGCCCTTTCAGGAGAGACATTCCCACTCAAACCCTTGCGAAATATTTAAGCTGTTATTAACGACAAAGTAATAAATCAGACAAATATTTAAATGCTGTTAGTATACTTCTTACGTAGAATTTCTAAGACAGAATTCCCCGCTTTTTTAATATTCTTTTATACCGTCTGTATTCGATGTTTTCGGGCCATAAAGCATTAGAGGCTCTGGGAGATTCCAAATAATATTAGGCCTTAAAAATGCATTATCGTTGCTAGCTAATTTATTCTTGTATTACATTTTTAAACTCTTATTTTTACGCCGAGTTTCTCGGATAAATATTGAACGAAGCTTTATATGTGTTAGCTCATTAGTTAATATGTTAGCTATCATTAATTTCGACCTAACATTTTCAACCTACTCTGCAAATAGGATACAGTAAAAAGTTTCAGGACAAATTATGTGGCATGGTTTGAAATAATGAGCAACTCAGAGCAGGATTTTATTAAATTTTGGTCCCGAAACTATAAATGTTTTAAATAAAGTGCTACCTCAAAAAACGATAATTTTACATATAGGAGTAGATAGTAAAATAAACTTGAAAAGTTAACGACTTAAGTTTCACATTTTTTACATGTACAAGTAGACATGCCAAACCTGCATGACGCAAATTTACAATTCTCCAAAGGAAATGGTTGTTTAACCGATTTTAGAAATCATCAATCAAAAGTCTATAACTCACAACTCCTTGCATATTCATTTGATGTTAATAAAACAATAGACAAAATCCCATAAAAACTAAGTTTATTTATCTAATTTTCTTATAGAGAGGACCACCACCTCCAGAAGATGGCGGTTCCAATGGCGATCCCCCACCGAAGGAATTCGCAATTTCATCTCAAACTTAAACAACGTGAAGAACATAAACGATACCTAAGGATGTTTTGTTACATTTAATTGTTTCAATTAAAGAACTATATACAGCAAACATATTTTCTATTCTGTCCCATTCTTCACCATATTTAGAAGTTGAAGATCGACACAGAACGGTAAACTTAAATTGCATATTAATAATTCTATTAAATTACCGCAACTGGAATCTCAATTATGAAAAATATAGCGCGACATAGTGACGGAAATAGTTTTGTCCAGAAACCAATTGAAATAATTCAACAGTAAGAGTGGAAGAATAAAATAAGGAAAATTTTATTTTTTAAACAACATGAAACAAAAAAGTATATTGCATCAGTACCTAACTGCCATAACTGCAGTTTCATTGCTTTCATTGCTGTGATGGTTAGAATTCTATTCCAATTTTATAGACATCAATACTTATATCCAGTGTTACAATCAGTAGCTAAAATGCTTCGCAGCATATTTCTCAAAAGTAACAGAGCAATTGTTCCTTCAATTGTACTCTTAGAAATATATTATTGTTTATATAATAAGATAATATATACAATTCTAACAGAAAATGCACTAATGATACCTTCCTTTCAAGATAAATTAAAGGTAGAAAAATTTATTTTAACATTGTATCTTCTACAAGCTGCGTCATGTAAGGCGATATATTGATATCGCTCTTTGTAGTAAAATGATCAGATATCTTGAATTTAATTAGTTAATCGAAACATGCAAAGATTTTCGACCTGGACTTAACAGCTAACACAAAACATTATATCAAGAAAAATATGTTTCCAAAAATAAACCAATAAATAAGTACAATATATGT